ATGGCACTTAACAACAAACAGAGAATGAACAGACTGGTTGGCAGCTTGTTGGTTGGATGCATCTATAAAGAGTTGTTGTTATTAAGTGCCGTCCGTCCAGTCAGTTAAGATTCATAGCATGAATATAAACCAAAACACCCACTGTCATCGAGTGCATTCTGGTTCTGAGTGACCGTATAAGACTGAGTAGAATTGTTCAGAGGATTGCTGAGGTTATAAATCTTTATAACTGCCTCATCTTTCTTCTGTGGAGCGACTCATGAATTTCAACTGTACAACTTTCTGTTAGTAGTCCAACACTTAATCCATTGCAACACCAGGGCTCCTTTCAGCATATATATTGTTGTTAAGTGCTCTGGAGTCAGTTCCAACTCATAGCCACCCTGTAGAGGAGTTCTGAGGCTTTTAAATCTTTGTGGGAGTATAAAACTCATCTTTCTCCTACACAGCACTTGGTGGGCTGGAACCGCCGACCTTGTGGTTCACAGTCCAGTGCTTAACCTACGTAGCCACTTTGCTCCCAGCATATACATAGCATACAAATATAAATAGTAAAAATTATCTGTACTAATAAAATAAGTATAAAACATATCCTCATTTTAATGTCCATAGCCTTAGTAACTAGCAAGGTTGACTTTTTTCTTTGTATACCACCTTGTTAGTTTATTTGCTTCTTTATAATTTGTTTATGTCTTTTTGCTATTTCCTATTGAAGTGTTAATTTTTTTTCAAGTCAATGTTATGATGTTTTCCCCAGTTTCTTTCCTTTTATTTAAGTACTTTTAAAAAATATTTCAAAGGGATACAATTTTTAGAGAACGCCTCCTACTCCTCTTATTAGCCTTATGATGAGTATTTTTCAAGCCAACTACAGAGAGGAGGAAAAGAAAACAATTTATAAAGAAACATTAAGGACTTGAGTTGAATGATGAACTGGTGAATCATTATTAAAAACATACGATTACTCTCACCAAATTCTTAGTGGGTTGGACTTCGCCAGGGGAGGGTGCTTTTCTTTCTTTAACCTTAAAAACAAAGTCACATATACAAGAGGTTTTTACTCAACAGAATATTTCCCACAGTCACTACTAAGCAGTGAGAACATGTAAGCAACTGTCATCAGGTTTATAATAGACACTAGCATACAGATACTTAGCAAAAGTTAGGGCACAAAACTGAAAACCAGATTGTCAAGTCCAGTACACCAAGGGACAATTGGTTTACACCAAGTAACTCAGCAGTGGTAAATGAAGCTGTCCCAGGTATACAATCACTATTTTCATCACTATCAGCAGAGCGCAGGGAAAATCTTATTATTTGAAGTCTGTGGGAAACTACTAGTATTCAAATAAAAGATCTCCTTTTAAATATAAAAACACTAATTTTTAAAAATCATACTAAACCTTTTGGTGTTGTGTAGCAACTGGTAAAATTCTTGAAGAGAGTGATGATGATAATAATGAAATTTAATCTTTTTAGTTCTAAGCTACTAAGAATTATACACAAATTATGCTATTAAATCATTTCAACATTCTATCATGTGGATGCTATATTTTTTTTCCATCATTTTTTAGATAAGGAAACTGTTGTCCAGTTTCAAGATAATGTCTTCCATAATTAGTTTTTAGTTTTCATAGGTGAAGAAAAATTAGCCATGTCCACATCAGAATTGTTAAAGCAAATAAATGGAAAATATTGCCATATATATATATATATATATACTTAGTTTTCACATATAAATTTGCAATGGTGGTGGTGGTGATTATGTGCCCTGGAGTCGGTTCCAACTAATACCGACCCTGTGCAGGGTTTTCGAGACTGTAAATCTTTATGGAAGCAGAAATCCTCATCTTTCTCCCGTGGAACAGCTGGTAGTGTCAAACTGCTGACCTTGCGGTTTGCAGCCTGATTCATTCATTACCACTATGCTACCAGAGCCTGTTTTAATTGTGGCGATTGTTGTTAAGTGCCATCAATTTCCTTTTGACTCATAGCGACCCTGTACAGGGTTTTTGAAGAGTCCTGACATGGTGCTGTAGGATAAGGACTGCTAACTCCAACATGAGTGGTTCAAACCCATGAGCTGCTCCTTGGAAACCCTTTATAGAGTTGCTATATAATAACAGTCAGCTGGTGGGTTTGAACCGCCAACCTTGAGGTTAGAGGTTCAGTGCTTATCCTACATTACCCACCAGGACTCCATGGTTATAATGGTTACGAATGCTTATAAATGTGTGTATATATGGATAACAATTATTAATAAGTTCTAAAGACAAAAAAATTACCATTCTCCAGCTAATTAATTACCCTAGTCTCTTTGAAAATTACTATGGAAATTAAGCATTCATTCATTTTCACTCCACTCTTGTAAACTATTAATAACCTTAAGCAATAGGGTGCATATATACTTTCCAAACTGATACCCTCCTCTTTTACGGTTGAGTAAATATGTTTTGATTGTAAGTTATAATAAGCACTTAGGATTCTATGATAATGAATGTGACCTACAGAGAATTATAGAATCCAGCATAAGAATAGTTTCTAGTTTCGATCAAAGTAAATAGTTGTCAGCTTACCTTGCTGGTGCAGTTCAACAGTGTTAATGTGCCTTTTGAAACAATTGATAAGCGAACATTGAAATCGTCACTGATATTCAGTTTAAGAAATTGCCTCAGCTTGCGAGCAGCCCGGTATAGAAACATAGCTTCCTATTTTCGAAAGAAAATCAGAAGGATTGTGGTTCAAATGAAATATTGTAAAATAATAAAAAGCTTAAGAAGCCTAAAACAAGAGTTGTATCTCTAAGACATGCCCCACCTCCACCCTAGCATTTTTTTCCAGTTAATCATATGATTGACAAAAAACAGGACAGCAACTATCTAGTTCTGGGAGCTCAGTGGTTCCATATGATAAGCACTGGACAGCCCGCCAGCCGGTCCGCAGAAGAAAGATGAGGCTTTCTGCTCCCTCGAAGATTTAAAGCCTCAGAAACCCTATACAGGGTCGTTATGAGTCAGGACCGACTCGGTAGCACTTAAAAACAACTCTAGCTCCTAGGTGACAGCATGAAATGTTTATAGCAAGGTTTAATTTTCCAATGTGTCTATTTCTTCTTTGTTACGTGTTTGTGAACTTATTAAATGTGCACATATGGCAATCAATACTATTGTAAATTGTTGTTAAATGTCGTGGCGTCGGTTCTGACTCATAGTGACCCTGTGTAGGGTTTCCAAGGTGGGTTTGAACAGCTGACCTTGCGAATAACAGTGAAGTGCTTACCCTACAGCACCACACCAAGACTCCACATTATTGTAAATAGATATCCAAAAGAAAAGACGTCTGGAAGATTCAATAATAAAAGATGTATGTATGTGGCTTACTAATAGTCCTGAGTTTTGCACTTTTTGAGCTATAGGTTAATATGTGGTAATAAAATAAAGGGCCATTGTAAAAAGGTCATGTTGACCTGAAATGTACGTTTTCCAGATAATTAAAGTGGAACCTTTAAAACATATATGTATAAAATGTGAGATATCATGTGGCTAACTCAGTTATCTTGTTTTTATAAAGAAATGATTCAAACTTTTAAAGGTTTTGCTGTTCTGCGGGAGAAAGATGAAGCTCTCTGCTCCCGTAAAGATTTGTAGCCTTGGAAACCCTGTGCAGGGTCATTATGAGTGGGAACCGACTCAATGGTACTTAACAGCAACAACATATTGTAATATTACACAATGATGTTGTTGTTGTTAAGTGCCGTCGAGTCAGTTTTGACCCATAGCGACCTTGAACAGGGTTTCTAAGGCTGTAAATCTTTACGAGAGCAGAAAGCCTCATCTTTCTCCCGCGGAGCAGCTGGTAGTTTAGAACTGCTGACCTTGAGGTTTGCAGCCCGATTCGTAACCACTACGCTACCAGAGATCCTTTACACAATGATATGTGTTAGTAATTTAAAGATAAGCAAATATTGAAAGACAAAATTTATAATGCCTAAAATCAAACTTAAGGAGCTCTGGTAGCGTAGTGATTACGAATCGGGCTGCTAACCTCAGGGTCAGCAGTTCGAAACTACCAGCTGTTCTGCGGCAGAAAGAGGAAGCTTTCTGCTCGTGTAAAGATTTACAGCCTTGGAAACACTATACAGGGTTGCTATGAGTTGGAACCGATTCCGCGGCATATAACAACAACAGCAACAAAATCAAATTTAGGAGTCCTGGTGTGGCGCTGTGGGTTAATGCGCTGGACTGCAAAGTTGGTTTGGTCCGCAAGATCGGTGGTACAAGCTCACCAGCTGCTTCTCGGAAACCCTAGGTAGGGGTCGCTATGGGTTAGAACTGACTCGACAGCATATAACAACAACAACGAATTCAAATGATCGTACAACTTATATTTGCATGTGTTTAACTATTTTCTTAAGGAGCTCTGCTAGTGTAGTGGTTATGAATCGGGTTGCTAACCTCAGTGTCAGCAGTTCGAAACTACCAGCTGGTCCGTGGCAGAAAGAGGAAGCTTTCTGCTCGTGTAAAGATTTACAGCCTTGGAAAGCCTGTGCAGAGACGCTATGAGTTGGAACCGACTCCATGGTACATAACAACAAAAACAACTTTCCTACAAAAGGAATTAATTAGTAAGAAATGTGTGTCCTTAAATTTAGGTGAAATTATAATGTTAAAACAGAAAACATAGAGCTATTCAGAAAATAAAAGTATAAAGGAAGCACATAGTATAATTTAATAAGCCAATGAGAAATATATGCCCAGTACTGGCATATAAAGTAAATAATAATTTATTAACAAAATTATCTAACAGAGGCACAAAAAAATACAATTTATATAAAATCAAGCTCAATTGCTATATAAATTCCAAATAGTTATCATTACCTTATTATCATCACATGAATGCTTTTTTAAAAAGTTAGATTCATTAGTCAGGCAGTTGCTGCCAATTTTAATCCAGTTGTCCTGTAATAAATGATATAAAATAATTTAATTAAAACTGAGGACTTTGCTACTATGTAATATTATAAAAATAGCAATGTTATAATACCTGCTATTTAGATTTACATTTTAAAGCAAATAACCTTAGACTGGTTCATCTGATTGGGTATAAAGAATAGTATTCCAAAATTAAAGAATAATGAAGTATATACGTAAACTGTCACATATTTGTTATACTGCCCAGGCTCCTTAATTTGATCCAAGAATTGATTGATAGAATCTGGCTAATTAGGGCATACAAAATTACCAATTTTGGAGGTGATAATATATATATATATATATATATATATACACACACATATACTCATCTTTCTGTTTGTTGTACTGTGGTGGCTTATGCATTGCTGTGATGCTGGAAGCTAGGGCACTGGTATTTAAGATTCCAGCAGCATTGCTTATGGTGGACAAGTTTCAGGGGAGCTTCCAGACTAAGACAAACTAGAAAGGAGAGACAGACTACTTCTGAATGTTAAGCCACTGAAAACGTTATGAATAGTAGTGGACCATTGTCAGCTATAGTACCAGAAGATGAAAACATTATGACTAGCAGCTGAAAATGATCAGATATGCTGCAAGATGAGCTCCTCAGGTTGGAAGGCACTTAAAATGTGACAAGGGCATAGTTGCCTCTTGAAAGTAGAGTTTTGACCGTGATCATGGAAATGGAGTAAAGCTTCTGAGATCTTCATTTTTCAGTGGGGTACAACTCAAAATGAGGAGAAATAGCTGCAAACAACCATTAATAATCAGAACACGGAATGTATGAAATATGAATCTAGGAAAATTGGAAGCTGTCAAAAATGAAGTGGAACATTAGAAATATAAGAGGCAAAAAGTTAAATTTGGGTTGGAAAGTAGGAATATAGAGGCAGGAGAAAAACATAAAGAGGAAAGAAAATACTTTGGACTACATGGTGTCTAGGTGTCAGAGGAGAAGTGTTTCAAGATGGTTTTGGCAGTACACTCGGTTGAGTGCTGTTAAGGGTTGAGTAAAGTGAAGACAGAAAAGTTTCTACTAGGTTTAGCAATGTGATATTTCTCTAATGGCATACTATAGAAGTATGTCTTTAAAGCAATTTTTCGTTTTCTTACTTGTATGTATTTGGGAATTCCCACTCTTCACACTGTTGTTCGTAATTTGTTAAGATCCATACAGTCAAATGTCTTTGCATAGATAATAAAACACAGGTAGACATCTTTTTTAGAAAAAAGAAATGGAACACATAAACATTGATATCCTAGGCATTAGTGAGCTAAGATGGACTGGTATTGGCCATTTTGAATCTGGCAATCATATATTTTACTGTGCTGGAAACAAAAATTTGAAGAGGAATGGCATCATATTCATCATCAGAATGAAAGTTTCAAGTTCTGTCTTGAAGTATAGTGCTATTTGTAATAGGAAACTATCCAACGACTGCAAGGAAGACCAGTTCATACAACTATTATTCAGATTTACCCACCAGTCACTGAAGCCAATGATGAGGAAATTTGAGATTCTACCAACTTCTTCAGCCTGAAAGTGATCAAACATGTAATCTAGATGTATTCATAATTACTGGTGATTGGAATGTGAAGGTTGGAAATAAAGAGGAAGAATCAGTATTTGGAAAATCTAGCCTTGGTGATAGAAAAGAGGCTGGAGATCGCATGATAGAATTTTGCAAGACCAGTGACTTATTCATTCAAATACCTCTTTTTAAACAACATAAAAGACAACTATACACATGGACCTCATCAGATGAAATACACAGGAATCAAATTGAGCACATCTATGGAAACAGACTATTGGGAAGTACAATATCATCAGCCAAAATAAGGCCAGTAACAGACTGTGGAACAGATGATCAATTGCTCATATGAAAATTTAAGCTGAAGCTGAAGAAAATTAAAACAAGTCCATAAGAGTCAAATATGACCTTGAACATATCTTACATGATTTCAGAGATTTGATGCATTAGACACTAATGACTGAAGACCAGGAGAGTGATGGGATGACATCAAGAATATCTTTCAGGAAGAAAGCAAAGGTCATTAAAAATACAGGAAAGAAAGTAAAGACCAAAATGGATTCAGAAGAGGTGATGAAACTTGCTTTCTGATGTAGAGATGCTAAAGTGAATGGAAGAAATGAAGATGTCAAAGAGCTGAACAGAAAATTTCAAGGGGCAGTTGGAGAAGACAGAGTCAAATATTATCACGAAATGTACAAAGACCCGGAGGTAAAAAACCAAAAGAGAAGAACACACTCAGCATATCTCAAGCTGAAAGAACTGAAAAAAATAATTCAGGCCTCAACTTGAAATACTGAAGGATTCAATGGGCCAAACTGAGTCCTGGTGTGACACTGTAGGATAAACACTGGACTGCTAAGCATAAGGTTGGCAGTCCATTCCTGCTAGGTTATACTTGGAAGTCCTATACAGGGTTGCTGTGAGTTGAAACTGACTCGACAGCACTCAGCAATGAAAATGATCAACAGCAACAACATGGGTAAAATATTGAATGATGCAGTAAGCATCAAAAGAAGAAGGGAGGTATACACAGAGTCACTGTACCCAAAAGATGTTCAACCACTTTAAGAGGTAGCATAAGATAAATAACTGATGGTACTGAAGTAAAAAGTCAATGCTTCACTGAAGGCATTGCATTACTGAGAAATAAGACTCTGGGGATATGACAGAATAAAAATTGAAAGCTTTCAACAAAATGATGACTCACTGGAAGTGTTCTCTCATCTATGCCAAGAAATTTTGAAGACAGCCACCTGGTCATTCAGTTGAAAGAGATCCATATTTGTGCCCAGTCTAAAAATAGTTGACCCGATGGAATGTGGAAATCATCAAACAAAATAATTATTATGATAAGCAAGTAAAATTTTGCTGAAGTACAATGACAGGAAACTGCCAGAAATTCAAGTTGGGGTCAGAAGAGGACATGGAATGAGGGATATCATTGCTGATGCCGGATGGACCTTGTGGAAAACAGAAAATACAGGACAGATGCTTATTTGTGCTTTATTGACTATGCAAAATCTTTTGACTGTGTTGATCAAGCTACGGACAACATTGTGATAATGGGTGTTTTAGAACACTTAATTGTGCTCATGAGGAACCTGTACATAGACCAAGAGGCAGCAGTTTGAACAGAACAAGCGGACACGGAATAGTCTAAAATCAGGAAGGTTGCACGCCAGGGTTGTATTCTTTCACCATACTTATTCAATCTCTATGTTGAACAAATAATCAAAGAAGCTGGAATATATGAAGAAGAACATGGCATCAGGATTGGAGGAAGAGTCATTAACAAGGTAGTGTAGTGGTTATGAATCAGGGTGCTAACCTGACGGTTAGCAGTTAGAAACTACCAGATGTTCTGCAGGAGAAAGATGAGGCTTTCTGCTCCCATAAAGATTTACAGCCTTGGAAATCCTGTGCAGGGTCGCTATGAGTCAGAACCGACTCCACAGCACCATCACCATATGTTGATGATATAACTTTGCTTGTTGGTATGTTATTAACACATACTGAGGGCCAATGAGCAAGTTCCTCTATTGTGTTCTATGAAGAAACAGAGATAAGACAGCACAATCCCAATTTCCTGTGTCTTTCAATATAAGATGGAGATATTATACCCTTTGTAAACTTTTATATAATTTATCTTTGAAAAGTATGCTCTTGAAAAAAAGAAAATTTGTTACTATCAACCATCCTAATCCTACTGTAAATATTTCAAGTGCAAAAGACATACTGACTATAACTATACTGGTGTGGAATGTAGGATAAGCACTTGACCGCAAGGTCAGTTTGAACTGCAAGTTTGGTGGTTCAAACTCATCAGCCGCTCCTCGGAAACGCTGTACAGGGTCACAATGAGTAGGAACTGACTCACTGGAACTTAGCCACAAAAGCAACAACATACTGGTATGGCACTGTAGAATAAGCACTGAACTGCTAACTTCAAGGTCAGTGATTCAAACCCACCAGAAAATTCATTGGAAACCCTATACAGGGTCACTATGAGTCAGAACTGATTTGGCACTACTTAGCAACAACAAGACGATCCTCACATTGCCTTTAGACTCATTCCTGAGAAAGCAGTGAAGAACTAACACTTGTTTAAGCAATAATTTTCCTTTTGTCTTGCATTTAACTCAAAGAAATCACATACAAATTTATCTTTGATAAAATATAGAGCATTTAATTTTGTCATGCTATTTGTGCTAGCAAATCTCTAAAACTGAGGCACTTGAAATAATAAAATGGCTGGCAGAAGGTCTGAATTATAACTCACCTTTGTTACTAGTTCTTGCCTTACCATTCTTGAGAAAGTAAGTTTGACTTCTTCCCATTCCTGTGCATATGGTCTTGGGCCTTTGGTTGGATGGGATAAGAAGGCCTTGACCTCCTTTCAATTATCTTTTTAAACTAGGTCTGTCTCTTGTGCCAAGCTACTATTAGTAAATAAGAGTGGGAGTTAAGAATGCAGTGTAGTTACTCTTTCTTGGTGAATGGAGGTGGGGGTCAGTAATATGATTGTAAGAGAATGAGTTTACTGAGGATGTTCCAGGAAGAAGATGTTTGAGAGTAAACTCGTTGATTATGTGTCTATCTTTTGATCATGTGCTCTGTCCCCGCTTCATTATAAAAGCAGACCTCTCCTTTCATGCTTTGAAGCTCTTGGTAGATTCATCTCTGCCTTGGGTTTCCTCCATTCATAAACTATATTACTTTCAATAAAGCTCTTTGCTTTTACTTTATCAGAATAAGAATACTTCATTTCTTGGTGTCAGATAGGTGGGATTTAAAAACACACTATCTTCAGTGGTCTCTGGAACACTATGCATTTTAGGATTGCCATTTCTTTTGGGGACTTCTGGTATGGTGCTGTAGGATCAGCACTGGACTGTGAACTACAAGGTTGTCAGTTCAAACCCACCTAGTGCTCCTCAGAAACACTATGTA